AAAAAAAAAAAAAAAAGACAGACAACCTAATTAAATATTACCTTTTGATGTAAAAAAAAAAGTACAAAGGCCTTGGGAGGGTATTCAAACTCTTCCAACCCCAAGATCCAGCTAACAACCTGCTACTTTCAGGGAAGGGTAGAAGCCAAAGCCCTGACCTGGGGAAGAAATGGGAAAATAGCTTGGTCCCAGGCTCTGGCACCAACAAAAAACAGAAGCCCACCCGACTGCAGAAGGACTGGGAGTTCCCTCCTGCCCAAGACCCAGTATAGATAGAGGTAGAGTTTAGCTGCCGAAAGAGGGGGAGCAGGGATGTTTGAAAGGCCCAGCACAGGCCTGCACAATATTGGAGCTAAACGAATAGAACTGAGAACTTCCTTGTTTCACCACCATAAGCCCAGTGGTCCATGAAAGAAGGAAGAACAAGACAATGTAAAGACATTCAGGAACTACTCAAAGCTGAGGGTAGAGAAGAAACCCTGAGAAAAATAGTATGGTATCTCAGGTCATATGCTAAACACCAGGTTATAGAAGCCTATGATTGGGAGGATTTGAAACCTGTGTGGCACAGACAGCTACAGGACAGTATTGAAGAGTCTACCATAGATGTGATTAGAATCCAAAAGGACAAGACAGACCAGAATGGAAGAAATATTTGAAGATGCAATGGCCAAGAATTTCTAAAACTAGTGAAAGAAAATATTGAAGAAGTTTAGAAAACCTTAGCAGGAAAAAGAAAAGAAAACACTAACCAGACACATTATTGACACAACTTGAGGAAAAAAAAACATAGAAAAAAAAAGATAAAGAATTATTAGATACAAACAAAAACAAGTATTATAGCATACTCTTTTATCAGAAGCTATGAAAGTCAGAAAAAAAAGCAATATCTTTATGTTCTGGAGTTAGTCTCATTGCAGATTTCTATACTCAGCACAAATATCTTTCAATAATAAAGGCAAAGATTTTCTTAAGAAAACAAAATCTGGGAGAATGCATTGTGAGCACACTTGCCACCCAAGAAGTATTAAAGAGAGTTCTTCAGGCGTGAGGGATGTTATAACAAATGGAGATTTCAGTCTACATAAAGAATATGAAAGCGCTAGAGAAAGTAACATGAATGGTAAATAAAAAAGACATTTTCCCTTTAATCAGTCTAAAAGGTAATTGAGAATTTACAATTTAAAGAGAACAATGTATTTCAGGGTTATATAACATCAGTGGGTGGGTTTCTTGTTGAGTGGTGGTTGCCCTAACCCGTGTGTTTCCCAAAAATTTCAAATCCTGAGCCAGACCTTGAATTTTTAGGTGGGTTTATCAACCAATCTTTATTTGCCATATGCATGATTACAGTTCTTAACTACTTTATCTAGTACTTTTACCCCTATATATACAAATGCTAGGATATCTTCTACATAGTATGCTAGCTTATTCTTGACAATTATCAATTCCATGTTGGTCCACACTTGATTATGAGAGCATGCTGCTAAATTCCAATATCCCCATGGTAAAAACAAAAGTGTGTGTTGACTGTCATTCTGTAAGAATGTATATTGTACCTGATGAGAGTCTGAGACAGATGGAAAATAAGACAGTTGCCAAGCCCAGCAGCATGTAAACCAACTTGCCCTTTGTACCTTAGTAGGGTCTCTGCTCTGTGACTACCACTGAGGTAATGGGGGAAGCCCTGTGTTTCATCCCATAGCCTATTGTCTTTGTCCAGAAGATCTGCCTTTCCTTCTGGCACCACAGACAATTAGAGTTTTTGGAATCAATACACCGCTTCCAATCATTGCCTTAATTGGGGCAATTGCCTCCTGTTGCCTTCCTGGAAATCCGTATTGCTTGCAAGGAAATCAGGTAAGATCATTAGCATGCTTCCAAGGAGAGCAGCAGCCCTTCTTCAGTTGCCCTTATGGAGTAATGCATGTATCCTTTCTTCCTCCCTCCGTTTTTTCCTTCCTTTTTTCCTCTGCCACTCTTATCCCCTCTCCATATCATCTAGTACAGTAGGTAAACTTTGAGCCATTAGCTGAAAGTGTCTACTGCCAGACACAGTGAAATCTCACCATTTTATATATCTAGTGATGCATATGCATGAAACTGTGGTTTTATTCCAGATTCTTTTCTTTTCCTCTGTAGGTGGAAGGCTTAAAACAAATGGTAACAATTATAGTGATGTTTTTATTTCTTTCTGTCCATCAAACATACTATGTCTTTCACAAATGTTAGTGTACTTTCCTTCGACAAGTTTGAGCTGTTGTATGCACTTAGTCACACACTGTCACATTTTGTAACAGAAACGTGGTTTGCCTTTAGAGACACCATGAGTCCTGGCGATGGTCTCACAGATGGCTGAGATCAGAACTCCATTTTCCTACTCCTAACTCTGGAGCATTTTTCAGCAGTTTTTTTCCCCCATTTATTATTTGTCATGCATCCTGCCAAGAGCTTTAGAAATTGTTTTTAAAAATTTAAACCTCAGGACACCTTAAGCAGTTCTCCATTTAGACCAATTTGAAGTATGGAAGTAGGGAGGGAGGAGAGGGAAGTTGTGGGATCTTTTCAGGGTAGAATAGAGCAAAATGCCAAGACTTTTTCATACAGAAGGCCAGTGGATGGTTAATTTCCTAGAAATTGTGCCACAATTTTAACTTTGTACCTTAACTATGGGAAAAGGAGAATAGCATTCATTCATTGGCTTGTTTATTATGGGCAGTCATTGTAAAGGGGGAAGGTAGTATGGTGGAGGTTTAGTGATTTACAGTGGAAAAGAAGAAGAAGAAAAACTCAAAACATTAAAACATGGTCTCTATCATTAAGAAATAACAAGATGGGAAAGTGAATACATTTTCGAAAAATCAATACAGCATCAACAGCATTCAGAGGAGCTGAAAGTTCAAAAAGACTCTTCACAGATTTCTCTCCATTGCCGCAATCCTATCACATGTACATTCACCCAGAACTTTCCAGCTGTACCAGATCTTGGAGTCATACCTGTTATGTTCTCAGTATGCTTCCTGACTCAGCCCATGTCTTTTTCAGATTCTTGAGTTCACCTTGTCCAGGAAGGATTCCCTGAGATGCCATCCCCCACTGGGCTTTATCACAGCATATGTAACTGTTCTGTAAGTACTTTGAAGATGATATTTTTATATTTGGTTTCTTTGGGACCAGACATTACAGTGAGCATTCAAGAAATATTTGATGAGTAAAATAATGTTGTCAAACCCTTTCATTTTGTATATGGGTTGATCAAGACCTTAGGAGATCAGACTCTTGCCCAAAGATGAGCACATAAAATGATGACTTTTTGGTCACAGGTCTATGCACTTCCAATCTGTCTACTGTCTGCATCATAGGATTTACTCAAGTAAAGTGTACTCTGTTACATACTTCAGCCCAGGTATACATCCTAAGGGACTAGCTACCTGTATTTGTCATACGACTTTTTCTATGAAAACTAAGTAAGGATTTTTTTTCTCCAAGAATGTGAAGGACTAAATATTATGAAATACAATCTTGGATCTCAAGAGACTTTAAATTATCTTGTATAATCCTCAGTGGATGAGTAAAAATCTTTGATATCTAAGACAAAATGGCCATTCACCATTTGTTTCAAAACTTTAGTGAAGGTAATCATATTTTCTGAGGCATGTTGAAATGGCTACCCTTTTAGGATTCTTCTTCATAATGTGCTAAAACACACCTGAAGCTTTGCAGATCTATCTTTCTTCCCTATGGCAAAACTATAAATGTTTGTTAAGCATCTTCTGTAAAAAGTTGGCTGAGATTGGACCTTCCATGGGGTAGCATAGTTTCAAATACCCTCAGCTCTGAATCGCAAAAGGATGGGTCTGAACATCAAGCAAATCACTGTTTTCGAGTGCTGATAGTACTACGTAAGTATATAGAAATCTGTGGGTAAAAAGGATGGAGGGGGAGGGAATATGGTCATAGGAAGGACGAATCATCTAATGACCTGTCTTGGGTGAAACTGGTGAGACTCTGAGCATTACAGGTATATGCAAAGAATCTGCAGTTTGTTTGAGAGAAATATGGCATTTTTATTACAAAGTGACTGTTAAATAGAGTGCTGATAACCTCTAGTATATCTAGGAAGGTCATCTTTGTTAATTCAAAGCAAATAAAAACACAAGCCATGACCATTCTGCACATACAAAGTCCAAGTAATTTCAAATAAAATTACTGCCTAGCTGAATGCTTAAGCAATTTTGGATTGCTGGAGCGAATCGAGGAATATTTATAATGTAAGCCCATTAGGATTACAAGAGAGATATGGTGACCTAATGCAAGGGTTCCCGGTCCATTTAAACCTCACCTTCTTTTCTTACTTTGGATTACTAGAAGCTTTGGCTGAGCTTCATGTAGTCTTACAAATTTAACCTTTTTGTGAACTTGCTATTGAAAGTTCTGTAACTATGAGTCACTTGAATCATGTGAAATCATTAGAAATGTCTGGCCCTTAAAATTAGGTCTTTCTTCTTTCCATCTCTACACATAAAATAAGTTAGAAAAGTATATAGGATTTTAAAATATTTCTTATGGCTTATATATGATGCTTATTATGATTTTTGTATTTCTGATGGTTCCCAAATATGATAAAATTCATTACAGGGTTAATAGAAATCTGTTTGATAGGATGGCTTAGTCTTGATTTTATAGTTTGGGATTTTTTACCAGAGATTAAGGAGAAAACTTTACTCTCTTAATCCTGCCATACAATATTCTCCTTCTTATAAGAAAACAAAATAATTTCTTTTAATTACAAACATTGCTCTACAAAAGAGTTTCCCTTTTTGTAAAATATGTATACATTTGCACTGAGAAATTTTAAATATTTTGTATGTATCTCCTGCTTTTAAGTGCTTTAGTTCAGAAACCCCATGATTATTCTCTCTAAACCTATTTGGCAAAATATCTACTTCTCTGTTTAAGAAATTGCTTCTGACTTCTCAGTAAACCACAGTGTGGCTGTGTATAAAATACCACTTGCTTCACCTGCACATTCTTTGACCTTAGACAAGTTATAAAAATAAACTGGCATGTCACGTTCAATTACTCAGACAGACAGAGGCTGTGATCCACCCTCTTCACAATTTGCCTGCCCCGACGTATCAAAACAGCTTCAGTTTGGAGCCTCACACTGCAGGGACCATTTAGGTGGCATTACCAGGCAGGGATGGTGGAGAGCATCCTGAATAATAGCTGAATATGGTTTATTCATTCTTCTTAATAGGGAATAAAAAGACATATCAATCCTTTAACTGTTTCCTATCTATCAGTGTCCTGAAAATTTTGACTCACAGCCAGTAGAAAAATCACAAGGAGGTTTGTCCTGGAATTGAGGAGTTTGAAATAGAAAGTTTAAAACCCAAAATGTGTCTTTCAATTATGTAATTCTGTTATTTTAATCACTGCTTTGCTTCATGAGAACACAGTTGTCCACTAAGGTTCTACAGAAAAGAGAAAAACATGTCAGTGTTAAGATTTATCCCATTTCATACCTCATCTAACATGGTTTGTTCTCTAATTACTGCTAACATGGTCTTTTTAGCTGGCACTTTCCCCAAGAGATTGAAGTGTAGAGATAACACTGATTGGAATGAATCTCCATTTTATGCTTAAGAACAGATTCCTGGGTCTTATGGTAATAGTCAAAGAGAGACAGTCTCCACCAAAACAAAGCTAGCAAATACACTGTCAGTTTTCTGGCAATTAGAAAAAAAACATGATCTATTTCAAACACTTGAAAATTTCAGCCCAAAGGAGAATTTATTAAGATCTGAGTTATTTCTCATTTGATATGACCATCTATCTGAGTATCATCATCATTTCAAATATCCATTTCATTTTGAGTATTTAGTTACAGGTTTTGTTAACAATATACATGACAAAATCTAGCACATTGTTAAAATATTACTGGCTGGCTTTGCATCACAACATAGTTGATTTCATCTATTGCATTATTTAATTTAACCAAAAGCAAACAGAAAAACAAGCATGGCTAGAGCATGCTAGCATTTTCCTTTCTCAGAGAGTTTGACTATTATTTTCAAATTGCAAAAACCTGCAATCTTCTTTCACACCTCAATTCCCTCATTTCAGAAGTGAGCCAAGGATATTTATAGACATTTGATAGATACTTCACTGACAAATGGAAGTCACCCTTAAATTATGAGGTGAAATGTGAAATTAAAAGAATGAAATTTGACATTTTAAGATGTTCATCTTCCTCAAATGCCATAATAAGAATCACCCTAGTTTGAAGCTTGCAAATGCCTTTCACTATCCTAGGAGCAGACATTTCAGAAAGCCTGGAAAAGTTCTTGATTGATACATCTAAGATAACTGAGGGCTGTATGATAGTGGTATATTGAATTATATGGTAATTTCATCATTTTTCCAAGCTTTATTGAGGCATTATTAACTAATAAAAATTGTATATGTTTAAGGTATACAATGTGACAATTTGATATATGTACAAATTGTGAACTGATTACCACAGTCAAGCTGATTAATGTATCCATCCCTCACATACTTAACCATCTTTTCTCTAAGCAAATTTTGAGGATACAATACAGTATTCTTAACTATAGTCACTGTGTTATACAGTAGATCTCCAGAACTTGCTCATCTTATAGCTGAAAGTTCATACCCTTTGACCAATAGGTCCCCATTTTTCCCAGCCTGTAGCTTCTGGCAACCTAGTCTCGGGTTCTGTAAGTTCAGCTTCATTAGATTCCACATGTAAGTGAGACCATACAATATCATCCTTTCTGTACCTGACATTCACTTAACCTAATATCCTCCATAAGATTTCCTTCTTTTATAGCTGAATAATATTCCTGTGTGTGTGTATTGTGTGTGGGGGGGAGGGGGGGATAGCGAATTTTTCTAATCTGTTCATCAGTGGACATTCAAGTTATTTCCCTATCTTGGCTATTGTGAATAATGCAGTGAACATGGGAATGCTACATCTTTTCAAGGTATTTATTCATTTCCTTTGGGTTATGTACCCAGAAGAGGGATTGCTGGAACATATGGTAGATCTGTTGTTCATTTTTTGAGGGATCTCCACTCTTTTCCATTGTATCTGCACCAACTTGCCTTCACCAGTTGAACCTAAAATTGTATTGCTTGTTTCTTTGTTTGTATATTTATATCACGTCTTGTCTCAATAAAATTTTAAGAGTAAAATATTGGTATTATTTACATAAAAATATTTTCTGGTTGCTTCAGAAAGCTATATATTGGTAAATCTGCCAAAAATTCCATATAATCCAAATATTACTTAAGTACCTATTATACACCAGTGACCCTGCTAGGTGATGGGAATATAGTAGTGAATCTAGCAGACGTTGTTTCTTCTCTCACAATATAAAAGAAGCAGACATAAAAGTTATTAAATGAAAATATTTAGAAGTTACAGTAAAGGCTATGAAAGAAATGAAGAAGAGTGGAGAAAAATGGTTGCATGTGGGGTAGAATGGAGCTACTTTATGTGTAAGAAAGCTTGAGGAATGGTTGTTTAAACTGAGAACTGAATAATTAGAAGGCACTAGCTGTATGAAAACTAGGGTGGATTGAACAACATACAGAAGTCAATAAAGAAAATGTGGCAGGAACATAGTAATCAATAGTGAGAGCAAGGATCAGAAGGTGTGGAAGTCCTTGGAGTTTTTATTCCAGGTGCAATGAGAAGCCTTTAAGGGGTTGTCAAGGATAGGATCTGCTTCACATTTTAAGGTCATGTGTAAGGAGAGATTAGAGGTGTTGAGGGCAGAAGCATGAACCCAGTTGACAGGTGTGTACAGAATTCAGATGAGAGATAATATGATCAACAAATGTCAAAGCTGTAGAAATAAGGTGAGATATAATATGTTTTAGAGGTAGATTTATTAAAAAAATAATCACAACTTGATGACAAACTGGATGTAGTGGTAAGCATGGGTTGGCCAAATACTGGAAGGAAATAATAACTTCTAAATTTCTGCCTTGAGAAACAGGGTATATGGTAGAATGTTTATTGATTTGTGGCAGACTGGTATGTGAGTGAGAATGAAGGGTTCTGTTCTGATCTTGAGTTTGAAGTACGCAATTACAG